TGTTGTGTATCTTTGTGTCTCTTCGTGGTTCTTTTGTGTCTCTTTGTGGTTGTTTTGTGTCTCTTTGAGGTTGTTGTCTGTCTTTGTGGTTGTTGTGTCTCTTTGTGGTTGTTGTGTGTCTCTTTGTGGTTGTTGTGTGTCTGTTTTGTGTGTCTCTGACCCACTAACCTGACCCTCTCCTTTGGGTCTCCGAATGACTCCCTGAGGCGGGAGAAGTCTGGGTAGAAGTGGACGGACGGAGAGACCACCTCCAGCAGCCCCGACTGGATCTCTGCCGGGAAGCTGAGGGGAAAGAGAGGTCTGTTATAGCCCGGGTATAGCCCAGGAATAGTCCGGGTATAGCCCGGGTATAGTCCAGGTATAGTCCGGTTATAGTCCAGGACTAGTCCAGTTATAGTTCAGTTATAATCCAGTTATGTTCCAGTTAAAGTCCAGTTACTGTCCAGTTATAGCCCTGTTATAGTCCAGGAATAGTCAGGTTATAGTCCGGATATAGTCCGGATATATTCCAGTTATAGTCCAGTTACAGTCCAGTTGCAGTCCGGATATATTCCAGTTATAGTCCAGGAATAGTCCAGTTACAGTCTAGTTACAGTCCGGATATATTCCAGTTATAGTCCAGTTAGAGTCAGGTTATAGCCCATTATAGTCCAGTTATAATCCAGTTACGGTCCGGTTATAGTCCAGTTATAGTCCAGTTACTGTCCAGTTATAACCCATTTATAGTCCAGGAATAGTCCGGTTACAGTCCAGTTATAGTCCACATATAATCCAGTTATATTCTAGTTAAAGTCCAGTTATAGTCCAGTTATACTCCAGTTACTGTCCAGTTAGAGTCCGGTTACATTCTTGTTATAGTCCAGTTATAATCCAGTTATAGTCCAGTTAAAGTCTAGTTATAGTCCAGTTGTAGTCCAGTTATAGTCCAGTCCACTTACAGGTTTTTCAGGGCTTCTGCTACACTGCTGGCGTACTGTGGATCAGCCTGAAAACACACACAGACACACAACGTTAGCTTCTGAAACACTGAACGGTCACCTGACCTGTGACATCACCAGGTTTCAGTTACAGTTTGGGACAATTTTGTCCTTAAATGAGTTAGTTTCCCCTTTTGTTGTTTCTATTTATCACTTTATTGTTTGTATATGTCTGTTGTTTACATTTATCTGGTTGTTTTTCAATTTTTTCAATTTGTTTTTTACATTTATCTGGTTGTTTTTCTATTTGTATATTTGTTGTTTATATTGATCTGTTTCTTGTTTCTATTTTTTTATTTGATATTTGTTTTTGTCAGATGTTTTTATATTTTTATATATTATTTCTATTTGCTTTTGTTGTTTGTATTTATCTGTTTGCTGTCTATATTTTGTCTGTTTTCTTGTCTGTTTTCCGCTGTTGTGTATAGCTGTTGCTGTTTTTGTGTATTTGCTGTTTTCTGTTGTTGTTATTTTCTGCATTTTTTTCAGGTTTGTGTCTTTTCTTGTTGTTTTTGTTGATCGAATTGTTGTTTTGTGTTGTCATTTAGTCGGTTTCTGATCTATTTGTGTTGTTTTTTGTATTTCTTGTGTCACTTCTTGTTGTTCTGTCTCAGCTTGTTGTTGTTTTGTGTGTCTTTGTGTTGCTTTTTTTACTCCAGTTGGGGGAACTGAGTCACTTTTCAGAGATGTGACTTTCTTCGTTTCTTCTGGAACAAATAAAACGCACACACACAGACACACACACACACAAAGACACACACTTTTCACACATGAACGACAACTTGAGCAATCAGTGATGTCACAGCTCAGCCTCCCGGCCCGGCCAATCAGAGGCCAGGCCTGCTGTGAAGGTCAGTGTGAGGCCACGCTCGTGTTTCCAGTCCCAGCCGGGGGTTTGTTTCGTGGAGCCGGAGGTGCCAGCCGGGTGGAGCTAATGTGGAGCTTTTTGCTGCACAATGAGGGAAAAAACTACTTTTCCATCATGGATTTTAGTCTTAAGGCTTTATAAATATTTTCAGCATCATCACACAGACAAAAAACTTATTTAAAAAATAGAAAAACACTAAAAAAGACAATTATTTAGCAAAATAAACGAAATGAAAGTCTGTTTTCAGAGATCTTTAGAAAAAATCATTTTTTAAAACTAAACTTTCTCCAGAAGTTTGATCTCTGACTAGTTTATTTTAGGTTATTTTTTCTGATTGTTTTTTTCTGTTTTTGTGTTTATTGTACTTCTATTTTTTTAAAGTTATTTGTATACATGTTTTTTGTTTTAGTAATTTTTTCTGATTGTTTTTTTCTGTTTTTGGGTTTATTGTTTTTCTATTTTATCTATTCTAATTATTTTTATATATGTTTTTTGTTTTAGTAATTTTTTATTGTTTTTTTCTGTTTTTCTGTTTATTTGTCCTCTATTTTGTTTATTTTATTATTTTTAAATATGTTTTTTGTTTTAGTAATTTTTTCTGATTGTTTTTTTCTGTTTTATTGAAGAAGAGCAACAACAGAGTGCTGGAGGTTAATGTCTTTGACTCATCATTTTAGTCATTATTTGTGTTTCTCTTTCTCAGGGTTAGTAGTTTTAGGTTATAACGGTAAAAGGATTCAATAATAAAAGGGCTCTGAGGTGTTTTCCTGTTGGGCGGCTTCATGTTTTTGCTCTAAAATGTTTCCTTCATGCAACTTTTATGGAGCCTCCGAAGCTTTAAGGGCTCTTTCTGCTCATTGTTTGCTTTTCCTCTCCTCCAAAAAGAGCCTGAACCTGCACAGACTCGCCTTCAGCTCAGGGACAAAAAACTACAGACCAGAGGAAACACAAACCCTGCAGCTGGAGGAAAAATGTCTAAAATCACTAAAACTGGAGGAAAGCAGCAGTTTTCCAGAGAAAAGAGTCTGAAAATGAGAGTTTACTTCGGATTTTCAGTCTTTTTCTGGTTTCCTCGTCTGGAGTTTTCTTTGATTTTTTCCTCTTGTTAGTTTTGTGTGTTGGTGGATTTTCAGCTTTGTGTAACATTTCCTGATAAATACACAATAATCAGGTGTCCAGTCACAAAAGTTTATCCCGGCCAAACTTTTAACACGTAAAAAAAGGTGTAAAGCTCTTTAATTCA